GTGGGGGAGAGCCAGGAGGGGGGGGGTGTCACGTGTTCGGTTGACGGAGCTGCTCAGATTAGATGTCAAGAAGAAGAAAATGAAATAAAAACAGAGATGAATGTGAGCTGTTCATTGTTGAAGCAGAGATCAAACACACTTCCTGTCTCCCCTCCAGGTCTCCCATGACTTTGCAGTGAATTTTAACGAGGACAACCCTGAGTGTGCAGGTAGGCGCTTTGATTTCCTCTCTCTTTGGAAAAAAACCCTCTAATATTTGACAGCGAGCCTCAGAAGTTCGACTGCGGGAGAAACTGTTTGATGGGAGAATTAGTTTGATGGTGACAAGGCCGCAGGTCAAAGGAGCTCTAATGACGGAGGAGCTGACGGCGTCTCCAGGTGATTCTGCTCAGGTGTACAAGACCTGAACTCTTGGATTCATGTCTTAAGGATTGGTGGGGGGATTATAATGTTACCTGCAGTCAGACTCCAGTCGCTGTTTTGATGACTTGCAATTTGCCTTGACAGATAATTAATGACTTGACACTCATGACATGTCTGTGTTCATTTTCAAGTCCACACTGAAAGAAAAGTGCTGTTTGCTTCCACATATTTACCGAGCAGCTCGGGCCCTAGCCAGTAGCACTGTGTTACGTCCCCCCGCTATGCAGCTATAGCGATGTTAACAGTAAAACATTTATTTTTGTTATCAAATGTTATTCCCTGTCGCTTGGTTTGGGGATTTCTTTCATAACTAAAATAAAAAGCCCCAAATTCTCGTATTTTCTGCTACTCGCACGGATCAGAAGCTGCTGCAAGATGGCAGCAGCAAAGACAGATGAGGCTAACTCTTAGCTAACAGGACATATACCAGTAAGCAAATTCTAACCTGAGTGGACGTAGAAGCTAACGTAGTAGCTACCTCTAAGCTAATAACTAGGTTTTTCTAGGTAAGTTAACAGGAAGTAGCTAACTCTAAGCTAACTGGATGTGGTAGCTAACTTTTTTTTTTAAAGCAAAAACACACATTAAGGTTTAACCAGCAGTTAGCATTGGAGCTTGTTAGCTAACAAGTTACAACATGTAAGTCAGACAGACTTGTAGCTGTTGGTGGAGGTTGTTCTCTCCTTCAGAGAGAGAGACTGACTGTTTAGCTGAAGGTCTCTCGCCCTCTCGGGTGCTAAAGGTCATTGATCGGTTCAGAGAGACACTTCAACACAGACGCTCTTAATTAACACTCACAGTGTGTGTTTGTGTGTGTGTGTTTGTGTGTGTGTGAAGGAGATTGTGTTCTTGGCGACCTTCAGACATTAAATCACATCACTGCTGCCTCCGGGCATGCTGGGACGCCTCTAAACACATCCAGAGAGTGAACTTGACCGAAGCTCCAGAGTCTGCAAAGTCTTTTTCTTGCTGGTTGTTGGAGCCATTTTCTCTGCTTAAAAGGATTTAATGTTCGGGAACCTGCAGGAAGAATACAGTGACTTTTCCCACACTGATTATCTGGTTATCAGG